TCGGTCGCGCGGGGCGCGGGAAGGGGCGCCTCACGGGGGGTTCCCCGACGAAGTCCAAATCGTGCGGTCGAAGGGCCGCCTTTGGGATCGTGGGGTGGAAAGGGGGATCTCGAAGGGTCGGGAAACCACCCCTCGCGCGGTGGGGAGGGGGGCGGCCGCCGGGGCGGGGAGATCCCACCCGGATCCCCCCATCGCGAGGGCCGCGCGTTCGACAACCGCCCGTAGCGAATCACCGGCGTGAACGCGAGGCTGGTATTCGGACGGCTCGGGCGATTCGTCGACACGCATAGACGTCTGGGGCCGTTGCGATGGGTAAAATGCTCGAAGGGATTCGTCTCCTGGGGATAACCATCCTCACTCCGTTGAGGAAGGGCGTATTGCGACGTCACCAGTGCACGCACTGAGGTATCGTACCTACTCTCCTCCCCATCTGTGTGCTCATTCCAAGCGGACATATACACTGGGGTAAAATTCCTTTCCGACGCGGACGAAGAACCTTTTTAACCTCAGGACTCAAAAAGATCTCGCCACAATACTCAGCAAGAGCAATAATAACAGTAGTAGATACAAATAATTTCGATGTTTAAAGAAGGAAAGGGGGGGGGGAGGGGATGAAAGGATATTTGAGAAAGCGAACTTTGTAACCCGTCCAACCGGGAAAAAATGCAGATTTGTACAACTTTCTAAACTTTAGAGAGCACACAAAGGAAAAACAATGGGGAAATGAATATTACCACAAAAGTTTGAAGGGTTCAAACCAAAAAGAAAACCCTTAACGTTGGCTATGGTTTGAGCCACATATAAGTGTCCTTTACTACATTCCGTGCATACCCAGCGAACTTTTCTTTTTAGCCTTCAGTCCAAAATCGTATAATGCATTGATACTTTTTTCACTCTTTCCCCGAGCGTATTTCGCGTTCCTACTACGAAACCACGGACGCGCCTTAATATATAAATGTACGAAAAAAGTTCATTTACTCTTTATGCCAAACACGTCGCTCCCTCATATTAATTGCCTCTTTTTTTGGTTTGGTAATCAAGAGGAGGAGGGAAGCGAGTACCGTACTTCAGCGTTGGTTAGTTGACTTGTGCTCCTTTACTTCCCCCAACTATGTCCATCAAAAAGGATAATAATTACCGCGCCCTTCGTTTCAGAACCACCCCTACCGTAGCCGTCACGCACGCTAAGCTGAGCACAACGGGCGCGACGAACATCCACAAAGGGGGTGTCTGGGTTGATCCCTTTCCGGATCCCTCCATCGCATTTTTGTTCGGAACCGTGCTATCACCCCTCCTCTTACCGTGCCCTTTGCCGGAACTCTCAGCGGGCTCCATCGTCGTGGTCGCGGAGGCGACTTTGCCGGCCCTCCCGGCCCCTTGGCTGCTGCTCCCCCCCTCACCCCCGTCGACATCCCCCTCCCGCGCCCCATCGCTATCCTCATCCCTGGTATCCCGCACGACGACCCTCGATACCACCGGGAGTTCATACCACAACTTCGGATCGCCATAGAGAGTAATGGGCTGCGGTTTCTGCTCCACTTCCAAGGCGGAGGTCTTGAGTAAAAATGTGGATGGGGTTTTGTACAAGTCCGTGATCTCGATCTGATAGTTCTCCAGCGGCTCGAAGATGGCGTCAAAGGCGTCGTACATCGGCGCGAGGTTCAGCCGTTTGCTCATCGCCGTCAAGATCGGCATGTGCTGCAGCGGCTCCAGCTCCTCCACGGCGAGTATCACATCCGTGATGTTCTTCACAACGTCGTCCTCGTAAATTGCCTCGGCGCGGGAGTTCGGGGTTTCGTCCGGGCAAAGCTTCAGCACCTCATTTCGGTAATCCCGGCACGCGATATGGGCGTAGGGCACCGCAAAGCGCTTCCATACCGGACCGTAGCCGAGAATAATCGAGTACGCCGAGGTGATCTGCCGCATCACGAGGGCGAGGTCGTAATGAAACTCCATCAAATCGCCCGGGGTGACGTCGTGCAGGTGGCGTGGGCGGTAATTCGTTACGAGCGGCGCCACCGTGAACTGCGCGATCGCCGTTTGGGGCTGCCCCACCTTGCCAAACCGCTGATCTACTTTTATATGCGGCAACGACGTCTTGCAACGCTCCCGCAACGGCGCCATAAAAGGGGAAACGCTGTGTAGAAGGGCGCCCGCAAAGGCCTCAAAGGCGTTCTTCTGCGCCTGCTCGCGGCGCTGCTGCGCTTTGGTGGGTTTCTTCCAGCGACGGTTGCCGTTAATGGTGAGCGGCGGCAGCGGCCGCCCGTCGGTGGTGTTGAACTTCTTCGCCTTCTTCTCCGCGGCAACGGCGGGGTCGACGTTCTCGGCCGCCGCGGGCTCTTTTCGATTCGCCTCCCCGGCGCCCCGCTCCTCAGACGCGGAGGGGTGGAGTTGCTCTTCGATCATCTTCAACGTCAGCTCCATCACGTGTTGGAACTCCGCCTGCCAGTCCTGCTCCTCCCCACCGTTCGCCGCGTCCGCGGACCCCGGGTGCTGCTGCTCGCGCAGCATGAAGGAGGGGTAGTAGTCTGGCAACCCCAACGACGGCGAGGGCGTGCTCGCATCGCCAGGGGGGGGCATGGAAAGCGCCGCCCCCTCTTGATTGGCGTCGTCCGTCGTAGGCGGAAGCGTGAGGCTGGTAAGAATAATATCGTCCCTTGGGTGCCACTCCGATGCGCCCGCATTGAGTTTGGACATCTCGTAAAACAATAACTTTTTGTCTAAAGATGAGGTTTGAATGGTATTCTTATTGGAATGTTTGGCCCGTTGCTGCTGGGGGAAATGTGTGTATATGTAAATACTCCTTCCGAACTTGTTAGTATGAGTATTTCTGATTTGTATGTTCAATATATCTCTTCCGCTTGTTTCGCACCTATCTTGTTGCTTTGCGTATAATATAGACCGTGCTCTACAACACCTAACGTGTGTAAAAAAGCAGTGATTCAATGGTGGTAAATGTCGGAATAAAATCTAGACTTAAATAAACAAAAAGGAGATACATGTAGCGAAAAAAAAACGTTTTGGGACAATATTTTTTTTGTCTAACAACACGTCGCACATATATTAATACTTTTGTTTATGCATAACTTTCCTCTCTACCATACTAACATGTGAGGAACTGCGACGCGCTACAATTAATGAATGCTTGTGTATTGGAAAATATATTGAAAATCACTAAGCAGGGAAAATAGCTATATATCTATATAGTTGAATGCATGGTATTCCCTACAAGTAAATGCAGTCGATGGGAAACCGGCACAAGCTCAAGAGCTTACACGTAGTTACATCAATCACATCATCGATACGATATATCTTTGCCATACGAGCGCCCACTTAGCTAATGTGCAGCCCCACGCGAGGTGCCCAGCTGCTAGAAAAGAAACTAGGATACACTACACTCTCCATATACGTGTTGTAGGACATCACATGCGGCTTATCACGCTCCCAACACTCCTTAAAAAATAATAAAAGGGACTCGTGCAACAGGAAAAGCCCCACCTCCGCGTCGCTAGGCAACCCCGAGGACCATAGCTTGCAAATTTCGGGCGAGTGAATTTTTCGAAGCGAGGTATTCCGGAAGCGCGAGCTTCCCGCGAGGGATCGCCGCGAAACGAGGTTTGCCTCTCCAGGAGAGTCCCCGATTGCCGCCGGCGATTCCCCTTTCTCCGCCGCGTCGTTCCCCTGCTGCGCGGATAAGTTTATGGTATCGTAGAGCACCTCGAGATGCGGGAGGTAGAAGTGACGGTCGCACTGCAGGAGCAGTTGCGCCGTGAACTGGATGCTCACAACAGCGGTGAGGTACCAGCTTTCCCCGCCATCCTCACGGACTTTTTCGTTATATGCGATCATCTCGCGGATGACGGAAGGATGACGCTTCGCGAAATGAACCAACTGCCGGAGAGCCAGGACGCCGCCACCTCGAAGATCCGTGGCGGGATCCTCACCTTGGAAGCCCAGTTGTTCCCAGTGCTCGCCTGTGCGTTTGTAGGTCGAGAGTGGCCTCCCTATAGCCACCCAAAGCTGCTGGAGAAGACTGAGGTGGTCGTGGTTGTTGTTGTCAAAGGGCGTACTGCGCTCGATCTCCAGGCAACGTAGGCTCATATCCGCCCCAAGAAGCTGCAACATCATATTTCGCTCCACCACCGGCGAGGAGTTCCGAGGTTTATTCGGGTCCGCAGAAGCAGCTTCAGGAGTCATCTTATCAATGTGTCTCGTCGCGGGGAGGTAGCTTTCTTGAAGAAAGTGGATAAACGCCTCGGGGACTCGAATACGGTAAGCGTTAGGATGCCTCTCCCCCTCCAAAGTCTCATCGGGCGGACCGCGTAGGAAATTTACAAGCTCGCCAAGGGTCCCAATCTTCCCCTGGCGGATGGTATCCAAGACGACCTGCATGGCGCGATGGGGATCCTCATGAGCTGGAAAGCCAAGTACCCCATGCCGGATACTACGACCATCACCACCACCGCTACCGTTAGCAACATCGCTCTTTTTCCAGTAGAGCCATAAAGTACCTATTAAACCAACAGCCACAGCAGTTCCGACCACAAATGTTGCACGACCCCCCTTTGTGATACGGGAAAGAGCTGTGATAGAATGTTCGGTGGACATGAGTAACTTCTTATTTAGCTGATTTAAAGAAACGCAGTAAATCTCAGGAGGGTAAGTTGAAGTACTTTTCCCCACACGACTGCCTCGTCTAAGCCTATTGTCTTCTTGTACAAGATGAATTGGTCTGTCCCGACTTTTTGGGTAAGCTTAGTGATGAGTAAGATCAATAGAATTAAAAAGGTCACGTGGGCATTATTAACGTGCATAAATGCTGAATAACGAAAGTCCTCCCCATAAGAAGTGATCCCATGAAATATTGTTGATGACGAAAAAAAGAACGCTAGAAAAGTATCTGAAGGAATATTGAGGAGGGGCTCATTTTCCTTATGATTCCAAAAATATTGCCATGATTCTTCGGTAAACTAAATTCAAGCTTCACGCAGCAGCATGTTCAGCTTCCCGATGATTGTGCAAAATCAAATCTATCACACAAAAAGCAATGGTCTCCCACACTTTCAATTTATCCATACTCGTGAAGACCTCTACATAAATCTTGCGTTTATTGTGCCCATTCTTAGACATTGCCGTGTCTGATGAAAGCAACTCATGTGAAATCTAAGCAAGAATCACTGTATCATTGGCAATAAAAATGGAGAGTGTTAACACAAGCGAGGTACCTACCCGCCGTATTGTCTCGCCACGCTCACACCGCAACATATGAATCCCCCATGCACACACATACACACCATGAAATACACAAACTGCACCCTTTCAGAGGGGATAATAGTGTGTGCTGATGTTGCCTAGTGAGGTAGAGGCTATTTAGTATCCACAAGATCCTACATGTTGTGGTCTTGGCGTGATTTGGCATGCTTTGTCACCTGGTTGAGTCCTCGTCAACTCCCAATGAGAGCACCCCTTCTCGAACCTCCCCTCGGTCATTCTCCAACACCCATTAGAGCCCTTACCAGCAGCTCTGTTCAGCATGGTCGTATTGTATTTGTCAGATACCCCCGCGTAAGTGCATCTCACATCCAAATCATGTACGCAAACAACGTAGAATCAATCCCACTCCACATCGCATGCATACGGGAGCGCAAAACTCGGATATGCCCCCTAAGACCTGCTGGCTCTCTCGGTCTCGTAGAACTAATTCTTTTTAGTATGTATCCCTCCTCGAAAGCCTATGAAATATCCTAATTCGATATCCCAAGGACTCTCTTTACGACACTACAGTCTTGCCTAAACAGGTTGGTACAAATGCGTAAATCAAAATTTTGAAGAGAAGAAACGAAAAACGAGAGGTAGAAAGAGACAAGGATAAAAATCATTTGGGGAAGCCATTTTGAACGCAAGTAAATATGAACAGGCTTGGGCCTCATAAGACCAATATGGCTAATTCGTTGAAATTTATAAAAGAAAGGCAAGCAGGTTGAAAAAAAGAACAAATGCGATGAAAGGCATTCAAACATAAACTAATGATACAATTTTAAGAATAGAAAAAGATAGAGGGAAGAGAGAGTTTGGCGGTGCACATTGAATGATGCCCATCTTCATAAACGGTCAAACACAAGCCAAAAGTTCCCCCATGGTTAACCGGGTCTTTGGCAACGATCCCGGAACTGTTGACGGCGGGAATAAGCTAGATGTTTACCCAGGGATCGGAACCCATGCCGCGCCGCGCTCCCACCCCTCCGTGCCCGAAGCGCTGCCCGCATTGCCGCTGCAATCGAGGGATTTATCGGCGCCACCTGCTGCTGCAAAGGCATCACAAAGGGATGTTGGTGCGCACCAACATCATTACCATGAGCACTTGAGGAAGAAAAAAGTCCGGATCGTGGAGGTCGGAAAACTTCTGGATATGCGGCCTCCGAATGAGGAAGCCAACTGCGGAATGGATTAGCGGCCTTCTCATCAACTACCTGAGATCCGACCACGCCGTCATGCATCTTGGCATCCGATGATACAAGACCAAGAGGCGGGTAAAGCAGGTTGGGATTAAAAGGAGGATACCAGGGAGGTGAAGGCTCTCGTAGAAAGGCGCCTTGGGGGGTAAGCTTAGATGGAATCTGAAGAATAGAGGAATCGTGGAATGAGTCGAATGGCATCCCAGGCAATCCCTGCCCGGTGAGCGGTGCGTGAAGGGAATCCCCGCAAGGCAACCTATCTCCTTCAAAAGGCTGGGGTTCCCAGCCCGTCGCGGCGTAGGACGGATTGAAGAAAGACGCCGTCGTGGAGGATTCTAGAGGTGGTACGGGAGCAATCGCCTCGGGAGAACACTCGCTATAGGCGCCATAATTAGCAAAAGCATCGAGATCCTTAGGCGGGGATGGAAGGGGATCTCCTTCGGAGGGCCAGATAAGCTGAGGGAAGCCCGGTGTGCCCATCTCCTGGCGCGGTTGCGTGGCGAAAAAAGCCGTGGCGACGTCGCCCGCGTCGTCGACGCGGAACGCCCCCTCACGGCGCTCATCCGGGGCGTCTGCTGCGATCCACGCCGCCTCGCCCTCGCCTCGCGGCATCGCGGAGGGCTCCCCGTGGACGACGCCGGATGACGCGGGGGATCGCGAGCATGACGACACCGGTGATCGGGAGAGGGGAAGGGGAAAGGAAACACCACAGGGATCCACCCCAACGCCCAAAACGGGCGCGAACGAAGGGGGAAGAACCGCCGGCGTGGATAACGCCGCGCGGTCGATGGGGGTTGAGATAGCAAGGGAGGGACCGCCTAATGCGTCGAGCGCCGAATCCATCCTCCCCTTGAGGAAAGGAACCTGCGCGAGGGGGGGGGCGGCTCGCGCGGCGTCGGAAGAATCGCTTAAGGGGCGCGCAGGGCGCGTTGCCAGGGGCCACCGCAGCGCTAACACATCCACCCCACCCGTCTCCCGCCCCCGTGCGGGGGTTGCCGCCGCCAACGCGAAGGAACCCGTCCCTTCAGAACGGTTTCGGCGCGTCCGATGGGGCTTTCGATGCGCTTCGATCCCCCCAAACGCGTCGCTCCGTCGAGCTCGCGACTGCCGCTCCCGTTCGGCCCGCTCCTCGGCGTAGGTCCGAGAGCGGTGGGCGTGATCCCGAGCATCCCCACCATCCCTCACGGCGGCTGAGTTGATGAGAAATCCTTCAGCCTGGTTACGACCCGTCACCTCGCCTTCGCCGGGCGGGCTCTTCGCAAACAAGCGAAGAAGAAGACGAGCCTGCGCGCGAGCCTCGGACCTGCCCACAGCGAGATCAGAAGACGTGAAGAGGAATGAATTACTCTTGCGAGCTTCCTCGTCGGCGTGGGGCTCCTGAGATGATGATAATGGTGCGCCCCCGCTGACACATTCATGCTCAGCCTCCTTCCCTTTTATGCATTCATGACTAGCGGCTATGTTAAACATGATGGAATTATTCTCCGTCTCCACTTGAGCCGAGCAACCCTCCTCCGCGCTGACGTTACCAAAGTCTTTCCCCTTCGCATCCACCTGATCTGATGAAAGGATCGATGGCTGAGGTAGATCCCTCACGGATGAAGGCAGAGGCTCATCGCCCCCTGCCCCTAAGGTTCCAGGATGGCGAGAATCCTCTCCGTCGTGTTTCTTGCAGACTGATGGAGATGTAATGGAGACCAGTTCATAGGGTTCAGAGGCGTGGGATAGAGAAGGCGCGGGCCGCGTTTGGAAAGCAGGGGGGAGGGCGAGATTCTGCCTCGCCGCACGAGCTGCCCGGGTTCGTGTTCCAGCCGTCCATCGGAACATAGCAACCGTTCAGCTCTGCTGCCACCACCACCCTCTTTGCTAATATTTACGGGCACGAAGGGATTTTAGGTGATTCAAAATTGAAGAAGAACGTTCACTAAGAAAAAAAACTTTGGGGCTCTGATCGTGTGTTGCTGGCAGCTGAGTAAGCGAAGAAAATATTCACAGGAATAAAAGTTGCTCAAAATAGCCCCATTCATCCAAGGGAAGGTAATTGAATACCTCTGGTCTGACGGTTACTGTGTGAAAAGGAAAAATTTATTCATCAAGACGAAAACCTGCTCGCTATTGCGATTACTTTCAGGGAATGGTTAAAGCACAACAAAGGATAGGTTGCATATTTTTAATTTTTGTTTCAAACACAAGTGCACACCTTTATTCCATAACATATTCCAGTGAAACTAACATTATTGTACAAAAAAATATCAATCCCCAATGGAAGCGATAAAGATACTAAAAAAAAGAAAAGCAAGCATAATAGGAACGGGTACCTGTTTGCCTCAACAAAACCCATAGTCCTTTTTATTTTCAATTTCTGATCATACCATGTTTCTGGTCTCTCGAACATGATATTGGTGATAAAAAGGTATAACATCACATATTCGTCTCCATTCAGGTATGCTTATTACAGACACATACCGATATAGTATTAATCGCAATATCATAACTTCCCCATAGCTCGCATGCCTTCCAATTGAAATAACCAACTAATTGCTTAAATTTTTTATAAAATTCCCTTGCATTGTTATCTCAGTGGTGCAATTAAAAGAAAGAGGAGTTCACGACACCCAGGCCCACACACTCCCTCCCCATAAGACAGCAGAAAATATCAGATGAATGGATAACAAAGTGTAAGAAAATGTTTTACGAAGTCTCTGTAGATAGGATGCTAAAAAAAAAACGGTACCCTCACATTTGCTCCACGATTACCGCGGCTCCAGTTGTCTCCCGATTCTTCGGTGGATGCCTTCCCTCCATCCGGGATCCATGCAATACCGCTCCGCGAGGTCGGTGATGGAGGCATCGTACTGCGCCCACTGGTAGAAATCCAGCAATCCCAGAATCACACTGCCAGAGCTCCCGCAGAGCTCGACGTTAGTGCCTCCAGACACAACACGGAGGGGAAGATCAGAGTGGCCGGACACTCTTCCATCACCGTCCGCAAGGGGCTCTTTATTTGGCTCGCAACCGCCAACAGACGCGCCGGTGTGTGAATTGACGGAGGCGTGGTTATAACCAGCCGCTTCCTCGGCGTTGGAGTCAATCATAGCTGCCTCGCGCAAGTTACGATAGTTGCGTGCGGCATTCACCAGCAACTCGGTGCCCTTTGTGTAATAAGGAGGCATTGCGACGTGGTGTGGAGACGGAGCGCGTTTACCAAATTCCTTCTGCAGCGAAACGCGCTCCGACTGGGAATTCGAAGATATGGGATCCCCATCATTATGAGTGGTTTCGTTATGAGAGGTATCCACAGGGTAAAGAGATTGGTCTCTAGATGTACGGCCCTCAACCTGCGTATAATTCGTTGTCGTTACATCCGTGCTGGCATCCATATGTCTCTTTCTGTCAGTCCTCTCGCCACCCTCGTCCTTTTCCCCAAGGGTTGTTGCCATTTGGTTACCATCCTCCCCGTAAGCCGTGTTCGCTACGCTACTCCGGAGCAGCTCGCTCTGCCTACTATCCTCCACCTTATCATACTCTCCCTCCCTTTGAAGATCAAAACGCTTGAGGCGGCGATCCTCTTCAAAGGCATTCCAGCACATCAGCTGCAGCGCACTGACAAGTAAGAAAAGCGGCGCCCGATACGTCCGTTGGGGGCCAGGCAGGGGAAGGGAACCGGGGCCGGGCATGGCCTCCGCAGGGGGGATCATCGACGGGCACAACCACACATCCGAGCGGGAGCGATTGAAGATGAGCCCGATGAGAGGCAAGCGCACCTGACGAGTGGAAGAGGACGCCAACACCTGCTTGTTTGTTGCGTGCGGATCTAAGAGATCGGGGCCGTAGTTGAAGTCGGAGACACCATCTCCCACGAAAGGACGCCTTGTCTCTCTCCCCAATCCGCCCCCCCCAGAAGCGGATTGAGGGGAGTCTCGGGCAGGATCCATCGAATTGCGCGCCTCGACACCCTCATTTTCAATAGGGTTAACAAGCGATACCACCTCTTGCGGTACGGATGGTTGCCTGGCCTCGCTGCCGATAGTCGCTGAAAAGGAAGGATTTGTGCAGCGGCCAACGTAATAGCGCCGTTCAAAGCCCCAGATATCAAACGAAAGCATCTCATGATCGACACGAAATACAGGGCTATCCCACGAGCTGTTCATACAGGTCGCAGCGCTCTTGTCGGCGAAAGGCACAAAGATATGACGCGGTGCCCGCAGCATATAAAAGGCGAGAAACGTGCCGCAGCTCTGTTTAGCCGTGTGGCCGCCACAAAACACGGGCTGCCACATGATAGCCACCCATGACTGGTGATCAATATCCGCAGTTGTGGCGGTGAGAAGCGTGCGAAACGCTTCGTTTGCCCGTGCAAGCTCCTCTACTTGCTCTACAACTCCGTTACGATTATCAGGACGCTCTGAGGCGCTCCAAGTCAACAAGCCCGGGGAGCTGGATGAAATCACGCCATTGGGAGAGGAAGGCAACGAGTTCAGCCCCTCCTTGATGTTCGTCTTCTCGTTGCTTTCTTGGCGCTGCAAAGCAAGCAGCTTTGCGTACGCGGCCGAAGCATCGTGGAAGCGAATTCGGAAGCCACTCAGCAGTGGTGTATACACCACCTTGCTCTCAGGTGGTCGCATGTTGGAAAGAATGACGACCTGGGAGAGGGGAACCAAGCAGCCGAAAGGATAGTTGAAACTATTCCACACCGACGCCAGGGACACGATAGGCTCCACGAAATATACGCCTTCGAAGTCTTGGTACTGTCGCACAAGTGGAACCGCATCAAGGTCGACAACGCCGCCAGTATTAACACTGCTACCCACATCCTTCACTGATGTGAACGGAGGGATAGGGCAGCTTCCATTGCTACTTGATTCCATATCTGTATTACGCGAATGTGAAATACGGTATTGATTCCCATGCATAGCTTGTTTCGAGACGTTTTTAATGGGGGAATTGATGTCATTAGCACACTGCGACTCCGTCTTAGGCACTGGCATAGCACCGTTGGCAGCTTCTGTGTGACCATGTAAAGTATTTGTCAGGTTCTGGTGTGCAACCTTATTAATATCCCCATGTATCGACGAACTGATCGAGGGAATAGAATCAGACGACGACATGGACTCTAACCTCTGCGATGACGAATTTATGTCATCCTGAAAGGGCGACTCCAAGTCGTACACTACTGGCACACGCGGGGAAAAAGCATTGACAAGACAAACAATGTTCCCATATACTGCAGGATCAAAGGAAGCATCAGCCTCCATCTCCTCAATCCATGTTTCCTGCGTCGGTGCGATGTGGTACTCGTAAAGGAGTGGGGGCACACCACTGGGGTAACCGTAGTTCGAGTTACCCCGCTGCTTCTGAGGATGGGATGCAGTGTGAACGTGATGTGGGTAGTTGCCACCTGGCATGGGAAAACGGGCGCTGGAAGCCGTGTTAGCGTTGGAGTTGATGTCGCTAGTCTGATTAGGTTGAAGGTGACTCCCAGTGCCCGTCATCGGCGAGACAGCCGCTCCACTATACACAAAATGGTCAGGCATCTTGGGGGCAATGCAGAGTTGTGGACCACCACGTTGATTCCTATAATTGCCATTTAAATGGCTAACACCACCGCGCTCCCCTTGAGAAGGAATACCCAATACAGGGGTTTTCAGTGTTTGGAATGAGCACTGTGTCGGTTGGGGCTGCGGGTAGGAATACTGCTGTGGGTACCGCTGCTGCTGCTGTTGCTGAGGGACATTACTATTATATGAACGTTTGTTGGTGCCTGCAAAAGCTGTGACCGGCATGGGATATCCCGAGACTGCACCCAATGTATCTGTATCCATGTGCCCGCAACATGGGGAATTAAATGACACACAGCCGTCGACAGTTGTCGGAGAGTGTGGAAATGCCGCTGCACTGCTGCCGCCCTCCCCACCAACTACGGCCCCGAACGGCGGCGGCTGGCTCCGTGCACCGGTAGAGGCCACTGTGGCAACGGCCCCCGGACCCTTTTTCTGAAGTTGTCCACACGCCTGCCTGGAAATGCAGATCTCCTCCCTATACGAATGCGGCGTGTTAAGAAGCGAATATGGTGAATTCGATTTTAAAGTCCGCGCACCACTAACACCATGCATCATAGGTGATTGATGCGAAGACAGTGGGCCGTGCATGGGCGGCTCGTAGTTAATGGGTAGCCCCTGTGGACTACCGGTGCTGGCTGAGGTGGGAAACGCGCCGGCATCCAATGCCAAGATGTGGGAGGGCGGGAAGGAGTGCCAATAGCGATCCATAGCATTCGTGTAGCATGGAGGGTGACGCACTGGGGTTGTATTCGCTGTTACCGGCTTGGATCCCCCTTCGGTCTCCCTTCCGGCTGAGTTTACAACGGTCAAGTGTCCTGAGGGTAAACTAGGAGCGACCTCAAATAGAGGTTCGGTCACCAGATGAGGGGGCCGATCCTGCGACCTCCTTTCCTCCTCGGTAGAGATCTCAAGGGAGCTGCTGATGGGTACTGGGGGATGCCGTTGCTGAGAGTTGCGTGGTGTGCCCTCCCTTGCTACCTGGTGTTCATGATAGGCCACACCAATTGGCGTAGAAGTGGACGAACTCACATCCTTTGGCGGATAGGTCGCCGTGGTCCCTGGCGTCGTCGTCCCATGTAACTCTATGGGCGGCTTGCTGTTGGGCAGTTCAGCTACTTGGTCTGAGGAAACGGCAGGGGGATGATTTTGGATGGAATTTGACGTCATGACGATCGAACGCGTGAGGCCGGATAGACGACCATCCGAAGCTTCTGTGACGGAAGGCGGAGTGTCCTCGTGACCCTCAGCCTCAGCTTCTCTGAGGGCTAACCCATTGTAGGTGGTCCTGTGGTGGTGGTGCGGATAAGCCTCCGTGTAGCAGTGCCCATGCAGATGCTTCTGGAAGGTTGGATTCTGATAATTGTCAACACTATTAGTACCCATTGTGGCAACGATGATATTCACACATCCTTCAGCCTTTGAGGCTGTCGCGCTCGCACCATTCGTACTGCTCTTGTCCTCCAAATTGGCATCACGATTGGTCACTTCTACCTCCCTACTACCCTTTTGAGTTACGTAAGCATCGCTTCCCTCAGTGGTTTCAGAATTTTTTTTTGCTTCAGTTTTATTTGAGCTTACTGTGGCAGCTGCATCGCTCACATTTCCTCCATCTGCATTCGTTTCGTGACCTATAACCGATTGACCTGGAAAAGGCATGTAGGTACCACCACCTACAGGCAGCATCATCTGCGATCGATTTTGCTGCAAATACGAATACATACCAGCCTGCTGTATAGCATTGTACTCGGGCTGTGAAGCATAAAAATCTCTTGGATACGTCTGTGCAGAATGGCTATTAGGTGACGGCGTCGGAGGCATCGCGAAGGCCTGAGAATAGAATGGTCGACCCCCACCTAGCTGCATACTTAGGGGTAACGGCGCGGGAGGTGGTACCACAGGGAAGTGGAAATCCGAGGATGTATTAACATTTGAGGTATTAAACCCACCAATAAACCCGCCAGCAGAAGAACCGTCCTCACAATTTGGAGAGGCCATCCGAGGGGTTGTCAACATCATCTCTTGCCTGGAGTAATTCACAGAATGGCAGTAGGGAGGCTGATAGTACGTCTCGAGTGCAGCCGTACTTCTGGGATCCGCGCAGCTGTTGGTACTTAAACACGGTTTAGTGCTAACTGTGGGAGCTACCGGTGTGTAGTAACGATCCATGTATGCTGGATGAGAAATGTAGGGCGGATTCATTCCACTGAATGGTTGATGATGATGATGATGATGATGATGATGGCATTGATATTGATTATGATAGTGCAGCGGTAACGGCAAGATGTGATGAAAATATGGTTGCTGTTGTTGTTGTTGTTGCTGTTGTTGTTGCTGTTGTTGTTGCTGTTGTTGTTGCTGTTGTTGTTGCTGTTGTTGTTGCTGTTGCTGCTGATAAGCTCCAAAGTCTTCGTATGGCATCGCGGATGCGAAAGGACCCTGGATACCCATGGGATGTTGATAAAAATGATGATGATGATGATGATCATACTGTTGGTACTGAAGGTAATGTCTTTGTGGTTGCTGGTAGCGGTAGTGGTGGTGATGATAGTGAACGGCAGCCATCTGGCTCTGTGGTGGTGGATGCCCCATCACTCGCTGACCACTTGAAGATGGTGCCCTAGTCTCCACACATCCCGAAGATGTCTGACATGACAGATGATGCTTTTGTCCAGCGTCGTTGTTAACATTTGAAGAAACACCATTTTTCAATTGTGCTTGACTACCATGACGTACACCTCCCGATCTATAAGCCCCAGGAGCAGCAGAAGTTAACAAAGATTCCTGAGAAGGAAGGGTGCTAGAAGAAGCGCTCTGCTTGAGTGGAGCTACACCAGTTGAGGCACATGAATCACAAACGGTTGGCTCCGCATTCATCGGAAAAAGCGCCTCGTTATCACGCAACCCTAAACTACATCGTTTCTGAGAAAAGCCAGTATTATCAGAATTATTGCTATTGTAGCTATTACTAATAATGTTGGGTCTTTCCCCCGCATCAGTCTGAGACGCTAGGGTGATGAAGGTAGAGTGGTGATTTGCTAGGGTATGATTTAGTGCGGCCGACGTGGACAATGTATGGTCTGAGCTTCCTCTTAGGCTGGTGGAGCTTCGCAGCTCATCCTGATCCCTTTCTCCCAAACCGTTAGGTAGCTGTGAGTGTGAACCAATTGCACTCGTCCTCGACTCTTCCATGGAAAAGTCTGTCAAAGATTAAGTAACGTGTAGTAGATATACGCGCTCTTGTGCACTAAACACAAGAATGTCGTACGATATTTCAAGGTGGTACAACTATTTCGCTCTTCGACACCTGGAGTTTGTTGTGCCAAACAATTAGAAGATTATGTACTTTACTGCGTGTGTCAGTGTCCCTTGCCGCGCCAATTCAGCGGAAAAAGACTAAATCAATGGATCAGATCAATTTATCCTTGCTTACCCTAGCAAAGGCTAATTTTGTCGAAAAAAAAAAGAACACTACTAAATGAGCAGAAGAATATAAAACGAAATAAAAACACTTTAAAAAATGTATTTGGAAGCTAATGCTAACAAAACACAAAGGATTCGGTCAGCTGTAGATGCAAACAAACTAGAAGAAAGAGGTGAAAGGGTAATGGAAGAACCTTTCTGTTCTTTTATGTCCTCTTTTCAATTTTTAGCGAGAGGGTCACTTAAAGCAAAATGCGACGGCCTTTCACTCATTTTTGATGAATAAGAGCATACACTGTGATTCTTCTTTTTTATACCCCTTATCCAATAAGCAGTTCCGCCAACCACTCTTCCTTGGATATATTTTTATTTTACTAACTCGATTGTCTATAAGGTTCTTGTCTTAAAAGACCCTTTGTGACAAATGCTTACAAAAAGCCTTTTCCTGGCAAGTTAATTGTTTATCGCTTTGTAACTAAAAACGGAAAAATATCTAACAGCCTAAAAGGAATTCACAACGGCTCTTGAGAATTTTCAAAAAAAAGCATCAAAGATGTAGAAGGCACAGTTTTTTGGGGGGAGGAGAAGGGAAGGGCCAAGCACTCCTAGGGAGGAAGAATAACCCATTATCTCAGAGCCTATATTCATCAATGGGTGGTTAAAATGCAGCAGTGGATCCAACATCTATGAAAAAAAGCTAGCAACGGTAACAAAGGGAAATTCTGCCGACATTCAGAAATTAGAACCTTGCACTTTATTCAAACTAAAGTGACCCCTTGCTGAGGAAGTGTTGCAAAACATCAAAAAAAAGCGAGCTCATCGTAAAGTCGTCGAAGATCCACAAGCCTTCAAGCTCACGACCATCTATATTGATATAATATAACCTAACCATTGCTTTGTGATTAAATGGCTTTCAGTTTAGACGAATGAGATCTCTACTTCTGTGCATATAGAATATCTTTAATAGAATTAGCCAACACCGCTGCTCCCGTGGTTTTAGAATTCAACTCTTTTAATACTAAGCATTCGATCATACGAAGCTTATCATAATAAAAATGCTTATCCACTGTCACCTCCTGCAACTGCTGAGTCAACGCCTCGGAGGTTAATTTACTGTTGTCGTGAAAAGAGACCTCACTGTTATCGGTGGGGGGCACGAAGTCGGACTGATTGCACAGACCGTTGTTGGGCTCACTACCTTTTTGCCGTGTAGTGACGCTCTTAGCAGAGCGTGAAACGGCATCTTGTGACTCCTCCTCGATGGATAACTGTTCTTGAGGGGCATCCGATAACGTCCCCACCTTCGTAACCAACAGTTTGGGTGTCCGCCGGCTACGACCACGCGAGTGGGTACCGCCGTTAGCCATATTGCTGATATTCAAACCACTGGACCAGGGTGCATGCGTCTGCTCACAACGTGTGCCGTCTCCACTGCCAAAAGCAGTAGAATTGGAATCAGCGCCAGTAGAGAAATTAATGGCCGGAGCATGACGAGACACCAGACCGGAAGAAAGAAGCATTGGAGATCTTGCGTGACCAGTAATCTTGTTTATTGATGTGCCAACGGATTGACTGCGACTTATTGGCGTCGAGATACGCCGTGTCCCAGCTGAACGAATCAGTGAGCCTTTCGGAGTGGTGGGTTTCTGTTTTTGTGTGGCTTGGGTCGCCTTTGATGGCGTCGTAGGATGCTTAGTTATCGTAGTTGGTGCTGAAAATGGTCTCGAACGGCCCTTGTCGCTGGAGGCGACACTCGGCTCATGCCGGTTTGGCTTTCTAGATTTCATCTTGGGCTGGGCTTGTGGTGAGTTAAAGTTTCCCTGTGAGCATGGAGTGGAGCTGCTTTCCCGTGACAGATTTGATGTATTTTTGTGTGCCTCTGCCCCCTCGTGATGTTGAACATAAGAATTCACCTCCACGTGGTGCTGCTCACCCTCCCTTAACCACTGTGTCCTTCTTCCATTCTCAAAGACCGGGCCATTGGGCTTGGATCTTGCTAAGGTGTCAATGGGACGAACATCACTTGACGAAATCCTGCGCTGGCAGGCTTCGATACCGTTTTCCTTCAACGCCGTGTACAAGCCGTGAAACCATTGCAAGAGATGCAAATTTGCTTGAAAGTTGCCATTTATGATCTTGGATAGATCTTCAGTGAGGATATCCGGCTTTGGAATACCGTTCCGATGTAATGCTTCCTGTATCAGCTTTAGATTGATAACTGCCTCGAACTCATGATGAGCAGGGACCTTCGCTTTGGTGATTAAGGGTGTGTATAAAATAGGTAGCATGGTAGGCAGTAAGAGAACGTAGGGTACGCCGCTACCACACTGCTCAACTTTTTTGATTGGTGTCACAGTGCCTTTGTTCGGGGTGGAGCAGGGGAGAGAAGTGTTAATCCATTGAAGAAGCTCGGTCCGCGGTAGCGTTGATGGTGTGATATCTAATCTGTGCTGCATTTATTACCACTAAAATATATTATGCTATATTTATCTCACTTTTGTGGTCTAACGCCACGACGGCACGATTTCTATATGAGATGCACCTAAATAGTAATAATAAAATGGAAAAAAAAGCGCAAGTGCGGCTAAGAATTGTAGCGGTCTACAAATCAATGTGATAGAGTAAAATTTAGATAATATCCATGCTGATAAATACGCACAGTAATGTTGCATAATGTGTCGCAATGTTCGCCCGCATCTAGAGATGTGTGCAAAAACAGAAGATCTGTTAGTATTGATGTTGCTTTTCGAGAGAGGATTCAATTAGGAACATCCCCTCAGGGATACCCTTTGACTTGGAAAGTGAGTCTTCTCAGAAAATTAAGAGAAAACTTGCAACAGCTGCAAAAGGTGATTTTACCTCCGATATATTTATTAGTTTAATAGATTTATAATTGAATATTCAAATACTTTATTCAGTTATGTCAAAAAGGTAAAAAGGAACTGATGGGAACGGAATAGAAAAGAATGTGAACACAAGTCTTCTCCACTATTCCCTCCCCTCTTATCTACCTTCTTCAGTTTGAAGTCTTTTTTGATACTTTAGCCACTCCACTGGATGACATCTCGCTGCGTGCGCGTGCCAGTACCTCTGCTTGGTGAACCGTCCCAAGCATCCGTCAAAGGGGCAAACATACGAGTGGTGTGTTACCCTCTTCGAGGAAAATCCCGCTAACGCCTCCGCACGACTCCTAAGCCCAAGACTCCATTGTGTCGGAATCACATCGTTACCTCTGCTTTTGTAAACCTCTTCACGACCATCGCACAGCAGCTCTCCACCGTTGGAACCGACGAGCCTTTTTACTTTTTTTGAGGCCCTCGAAGATGTACTATCAGAAGGAAACATCGGTGTAGACGTGTCAGGCGCAGTAAGGCAATTATTTCGATGATATTCACAGGTTTCAGTCGGAGTCCCTCCTTGGATGAAGTCACTCTCACCTACGTCAGTTGAATAATGAGGACGATTCGCTCTTACCGGTGAAGCATTCCGATCATCTAATTGCAGCTGCCTCTGCTGCGCACGGATCCGCTTGAGAAGTATTCTACGCGCTCGCTTGTTCCCGCTCCGTCGTCTTTTGAAGTCAAGATGGAACTGATCATCTAAAAGGCCCCTGTCACCTCCTTGCTTTTCAACCCCACTATCTCCCTGATCCTTTTCGAGTGAAGATCGACTTTCAAGCGAGCATTCCAAAGAAATAGAGCTAGTAGCATCAATACTGCTCACGTACGCCCACGCATACTCATCATCACTACTTTCCCTCTTCCGTTCATCCTCACCCACCTCTTCTAAGGAGCCGGAGTCATACCTCCTCTTATACATGTTGTCTTCGCTCGATGGAGATATGTTCGCATTATTGACAAACTTTAGACCAACGCGCTCGGCCAGTTGGTGAGCGTATGTGCACTCCGCCTCGCTATCACTTCCTACCATACCAGGATTAAGCCTACCGACATCATCACCAACAGCGAGGATGTCGGTGAGGGGATCCGCGCGCACATCATCTCGAAAAGGGCAATAATACCGCTGGTGTCGCCTCAATTTTGAGCGACTGCTCACTTCCAGCTCGCAATCCTCGCAAACAAAGACATGTTTCGTGTTGGTCCCCATCGGTGAGGATTGAGAAAGGATGTCAGAAGGTATGCTACCCTTAGAACTTGGGTAGTGTGCTACCTTACTACTGGTAACTCGTGAATCTCCAGAGGCAGGAAGTTGTATTGAAAAGGAAGTGTTTTCAGTCATATTTCCAGTCTTGGCGGCTGGTAGCCCTTTGCGCCGGGAGCATCTTCGCTCGTGAAGTAGCCTGATCGCCAGCCAAGAAAAACACCGGCCACAATAATGACAGCCATCCACCTTTGCTTCGCCTTGAGAAGGGAAAAGGCTCTGTGAGCTACGATCAGTCCAAGTCGGTTGACCGAGACGTGGACTTGACGAGGTTGATGATAAGCCAGGAGGTTGTATCATCGTTTTCAGATCCAATGACTCAGGGTGTGGATTGTCCTCCCTATTTACCAAAGATGTGCTGAGTGGCTCACTAGACACCTGAATACCACCCTCTTTTTCACTCTCCATGGTATGAAGAGGAACAACAATGGCTGAGTCCCCTGCAACTTTTGAGCTGTCTGTGGAATCAACCATCAGCGGATGCAGAAACCGAATATGTCGTCGCATGTTAGGTTTGGTCGTGAATCCTGCACCACAGTAACGGCACTTGTGCGGACGTTCATGGGTATGGGTGAGAAGATGTCGACGGTAGTTGCTATAAACGCCGCTGTGGCTCCGGTTTCCAGAGAAACCCTTCCCACAAAAGGTACATGAAAGGGTGATGATGTGTGCGTCTTCCGACGCACGCCCCAGTCCTGTCCCTAAACCGTCTCCATAGGACGAACTCATCTTTGCGGTTTCTTCGCAGAAACCTGCAAATGTAGCAGTCGAAGAAATATGATCTCCAGGTATTCAATATATTGCCCTTTGATGGATATCTTGTGTCTCTTGTGAACTGTACCTTATGCTCAATTCTTCACATCAGGAGACGGAAAGGAAGGGTGAAACTCTAAACAGGAAGCCTAAATTCGTCTACAAGCTTGAAATTCTGCGAATTGCTGAGAACATAGCGGGTATATTAGCCCCCATTGGTGAACCTAATCGATTATTCAAATGTATTCATTAACTTATTGATTAGCGCATTACTTTTTAGGTTATAGAAAGATCAAAATCAAACACGGTTTGATTATTTTTAGTTAATCTTTAAAGCTTATTCATTTGTGTGCATTATTCGCGCTTCGTATTCCTATCAACTCATCGCATGAAGCACATCACTTCCTGTCATATGGGACAGGTTTGTGCACAGCTTCCGAGCCTCCTCTACAATAGTATCGTCACGATCCTCAGTGAGCTCTAACACCGTGGGTAGCATTTCAGCCATTAAACGTGAAGCCAATTCCTCACCGCCGTCTGCGTAAATGCCATCCAAGCACACAACTGACATGCGGCGCACATAACGATTGGGGTGACGCAGCCCCCGCACCAGCTCTGCCTGCATCTTACTCTGAAGTTTATTGGAATTCAAGCAAGCAAAGAAGGCACGTACAGCGGGAATGATCGAGTGCTGCGCTCGGTAGGTGAAATCATGCACGTCATCTGCAAGATACGCTAAGTTCGTAAGTTGATGAACTAGCACTGGCATAAGACTGTTAAATACCTCAGTGTTGGCAAAGTAGATGTTCAACGGTATGCTGTAATCATAGTCTGGACCTGGAGTCTGTGCAAGAGACATACGACGCACACTATCAAGAGCACTTTCCAACAACAAGCTAATCAGAGAAGACATTGACTTGTGGGTCATTCCGCTGGACGAGCAGTACTTACTCAGCGTTGACACGATGCAAGGGAGCGCTACACCGTAGCCAAACTCCATAATCGACCCAAGTAGCTCTAACTGATGGTTAAACAAAGTGTAAAAGAGCAGCGATCTTTGTAGTATTGTACGCGAAATCAACACACTATTAACATTCTCAGATACTATTTCATCGGCCAATTTGTTTGTGGCTGCGTCTGGGTCTACAAGGATACTCGATTTCGTCAACGAGTCTGCATCGCTGCGAAAGGCCCACTCCGTCACCATGCGCAAAAGCTTCGTGCAACGGTTTGCCTTGAATTTCAGAAAGAATGCTGTGAAGGCCCCTAGAACAGGTTTGATAATGTCGTGAGGTGGGAAAATGGATGCCACCGCAAGAGATTCGAAAGCAGCCAGCCAGAAGTTTCCTTGCACGCTCGTCCCATCCATCAAGGAACTCATATGCATCAACTCTTCCTTTCGAAGACTGCGCACCCGGCTCTCCACCCTGGTGAAAAACATATGGTAAGAATGCGTAGAGGGAAGTACTCTCAAGAGGCAGGAACGACTTGACACAGAAAGCTTTTCCTTTGAATGCAGCTCCAGTAAACCTGTGTTGGCAATAGTCGAAGGCGACGATGACAAAGCAAGCTTATGCGAGCTGGGAGTGTGGACGTCTGTGCTATGAATTTCAGCAGTTGAAATATTCCAATTGCGATCGTAGGAAAATCCCTGCAGACAGGTTGTACAGGCCTCCAAAAAGAGCTGCGGCTCCACAAGTGCCTCCAGCACCGCCAGCACTTCGTTACACAAATAATTTGTCTCAGCATCATCACAGTTAGTGAGATGTGTCGCCGCAAATATCATACGTGGAAGATAAGGTTGGCACATCTGCCAACACAATGGAAAGCAACGAATAAGACAAGAAAGCGTTGTGTACCGAAGCAACGATCCTGCTTCAGAACGAGTAACGACAGGTGGAAGATCCACCACCTCGTACACCACGATCGATGTTACAGCATCAAGGATTTCAATGCAGTGAGTCGAGGTGCAAGAAACTCCCATGACTTGAATTACTGTGCCAAGGCTGGTGACCAACGAGGTTAGGGTCTCCAATAAACCTTCCTCAAAGGTGGTCCGTAGCTTGGAAAGCCCCTGCGCGGGGGGGGGGTCGCCTCAGAGGAATCACCAGTGGCTACATTTAGAATCGACCGAAAGCCTTGGGCCACGCTCGGTATCCAATTCACGCACACGTTCGTCACAAACTCGTGAACCAGCCTCACACAGGCCTTGTTACCGAGGAGTTTAGCAAGAAGCTCCTCGGTCATACGCTTACTGCGGTTGGCATTAGCCAGGGTCTTCTCAGCCTGCATGCTTCCACCGCTACCCACAATGCGCACCAACTCTTCAATACATGATATGCTGAGTTGGGAAATGCGGAAGAGCTGAAACATACCTTGCGTCGTGAGCTCCGACTGCACGCGGAAACTATGGGCAATTACCTTTTTCGTGAATGACGCTGAGCTTCGCAGAGCTAATTGGAGAAGGGTAGTAAGTTGTGGGAAGAGTGTGAAAGAGCGCTTTGTAGTTAGTGGTCGCGCCTTAACGCGCACCAAATCCTCCAGAGTTAGCTTCTTCTTAGGATCCCGTAAGTCCTTTCGGCGCTGCTCCATTTCCTGATCGCTGATAATATTCTCCTCCGTTGGTAATGAGTGGTGAAGTCGATCCAATAAGACCTCAAGACCTTTGATCTGCATAACAACCCTAGCATCGGACAGCAGCTGGTTTAAGCACTTTACAAACGTTGATTCGTTGATACTGGCAAGAACGCAGGCTAAAGTGTTTCCAGCAAGCAGCTCTAGCAACATGGTATAACTCTTCTCCTCGCTTATGAAGGAATCATCTTCACCTGTTTGAGTAGTATTTTCACCACTTTCAGGAGTACTCAGGTTTAAATCACTGTAATGAGAATATAACTCGAGAGATGAAGCCAGCAGATGCATGCACGTTTGATTGGTTTGCGTATCTTCAGGAGCATGAGGATCCTCTAATTCGTCATCAACGTGATGTCCTTCGGCATTTTTATATGCAGGTCTGTCACGCCCCAAGGCTTTAGCGTTCGAGCGATTTGAGTGATATAGTAGCTCGATAAAAGGCTCCAAAAAGGCGTTTGACTTCAAAGTCATGTTAATAACGTTGAGAAGTAACTCTTGACGATTGATGATTTGGTTGGGCTTTACCATCTTTCGAAGCAAATGAAGCAGTTTGTTGCGTTCAGACTCCTCAAACTGTGTGCTTGGCCTGCGGTTCGTGGCCTCCTCACTATCCAGAAGACTTTCGGGACTTGAATACGCCGCAGAAGGGGCAGAAAGCTGCCCATGTGGATCCATAACTAACCTCATGAGCCCTGCGATGCAGTAGATTTGAGTATGAATGTCGAAACTGGTAATGATCTGTTGGCATACCTCAATCACACTTCGGTACTGAAGTGTCTCTGTGAACTCCATAGGCTCCAACTTAATCAAAAACGCCACAAGTGGAATATGCAAGAAAAAATGTTGCTGAATTGATAGGTTATTACCAGACGAATGGAAATTATGTACGGAGCCCGGCTTTTGCTGCGGAACGAGTAGTGGTGATAAGCCCCTTAGCAACTCAGAGATGATATCCACTTTGACCTGAGCTCCCCCTCTGACCTCAGCTTCCGTCTTGTTCGAGGTCTGGGTCACCGCATCGTTGAGTTGAGCTCCTGTAGAAGAATGAGTGGAAAGAAGAGACACAATGAGTGCAAGGCCTTGCTTCAGGATTGTGCTGCGCACCTTGAATGTGCCACGGGGATCATTTTCGGACAGGGCATGTGCCTGCTCCACGCAGAGTGTGGTCAGTTCCTTCAAATAAAGGAATACCTGCCGCGTGTATAGATTCACCACGGCGCGGCTGCCGCTTATTGGTGTGAAATCCAAGTCAAATTCTTCCTCCCTTTGTGAGTCAGAGGGAATAAAAGGATCTTCACTAAGAAGAAGGCACATAGAGTCGAGCGGAAACTCGCCCAATATCGCCATAACGATAGACAAGAGCGATTCGTCGGAATCATCATCACATTGTACTGTTGGCAACACTTGCAATAGTGTAGAGAGGACTTTCAGCAGTAACAAGCAACGCTTAGTACACGTCCAACGGCAATCGTTCAGCTGATTAAGCTGATTCCGGACGAATCCAATGATGCTCATAGTCTCTGAGTAATGGAGCGGGTTGCTTAGTAAACATTCGGACGGGGGCTGCCAACCGGTTTCCCTGTCTGAGTGTTGCAAAGTTGACGGAACAAGGGTTCGTAGAAGCTCATGGAGCACTTCCAAGCTTGTACCCATGGTCTCCTGCTTCAGTGCTGGCAAGAAAACACGCTCATAACCACCTTTGGTTCCTACACACAGGCGTGCCACATCAGAACCGATGTGCAACACACTGTCGAACAGCACTGGCGACACCAGCGCAGCCAAGTCCATGGCAAACCTCCTCCTCTTGGATTCAAGGTCATCAGTCTTCTTCGACTTCAAAGGTGACTCTTTATCTGTTTTTTTCTGAGTGAAGATAAGCACATTCCCTTGATTCGAGGAAGCATCGAGTCCAGCTTGAAGTGCCACGGACAGTGCGGTGAGCGAATGCCGGTATAGCGGGCGAACAGAACTGAACTCCATGGCTGTGTGGAGTCCGACATCGCCTCTAATCCGTAGATACGGATATTTTAGAAGAAGCATCCAGAGGCGCACCGCAGCGTGCTGGGAAGGTTCAAGGATTGCTGAATTAGCTACCGGAACGTGAATAATACTGCGGCGACAAATAGCCTCAAGAAAATCGGCAGCCTCTAGCGATAACTCAGATTCGACTGCTTTGTCGTCACCACGATCCTCGCCGTCCTTTATAGACTTTCCTTTCCGCAGCCAATGACGAGGCCCAGCCCCAACCTGTAGGAGCTGTTCCACGCATGGAATAAGCTTTAGAAAGGGGAACGACGAAAATGTCTTCTTGAATGCAATTTTACCCTTCATAATAGCGCTTACTGAGGGAGCGTCAAAAAAGAATTCAATAACCGTTGTTGCGAGTCTGTATGGTACGAGTGGAAGTCCCCGCACAGCAGCGTTGGTTGCAACTTGGTCCACCTCCACACGCAACATCTCTGCGAGAATCGCTCCGGCCAACTCCGCCGCATCATTGGTTAAAAGAAATCGTGACTCCTCTCGAGCCATTGACTCTACGAAGCTGTTAAGCGTCGTCACACTTGAATTAAGTCCTTCGGTAGAGAATGTCTTGGAAAAGACTGCGCTTAGAAACAGAAATGCCGAAGACTCTTCCTCGGAGACAGTTCCCTTACGCTTTTTAACTGCCATCACACGCAGGATGGTATCCTGTAGCTGTTGTAAGATGGCCTCACGCTGAGAAGTTGAGGCGCAAAGAGGCAGAAAAAGGCATACGGCTAGCGGACTTAGTATCGAAGTTGTTGAAAGCATAGCCTCGCTCAAGGGCTCTGCATGCCTCACTGGACCAAACACGGCATCTCTAATAAGCGCGTACCAATCCACAGGTAAGTTGTTTGGGGGCGGCGGCATCGATGCATCCAAAGCTTCCGGACGTTGTCCAAGAGAAAGGTCTAGAAGGACTAAAAAGGCTGGCGCAAGTGCCTCCAGATGATCCACCATTCCCGGAAGCGGCGCCTTCAAGTAGCCAAGTAGCTGTAGAACCGAACACAAAGCTGACAAGTTCGTGGCTCTTTTGTACTCAAGAAGAGCTCCTACTAATCCCAGGAGTACTACCGAGAACCTCATAGTGAAGTTGTTGCTCGGAAGACAGTAAGACGAAAGAAGGTTGTTAGGCTGACCCCTTCCCACAGCTGATTTGCCTTCACCCAGCATTGAATCCTGGTCCACATTAATTCGTTGCACTTGATGCAGTATGCTCAGGTAGCCCTGGTTGCTGTTGTCCTCACCGCGATCTCCCTGTCTAGCAGAATGATTAAAGACCTTCCGGTTAAACGCGCTGAGGGCACCTTGCCGGGGAGCTCCAATAAAAAATTGAAGAAGATTTTCAGCAGCACCAGGGAGATCTGACATCAAGCTTGCAGCTGTTACTAAGATGAACTCGCTAACAGCCATCTCTACCTGAGCCGCCGTCGCGGCATTATCGTTCAGCAAAGACACGACAACCCTGAAAGCAGCCTCGGCTCGCTCTGTTGCTTCCCCCGTGACACTTTGCATGACCTCTGGCGTTTCCAGAACCGGCAGTATCCCCTTCGCTTCACGGGCCTGTCCCTCGTTGATCACTAATTCTTTTTTACTGCATTTCACATTAAACTTTGTCCCCAGTGTGTTACAGGAAGGCGATATCCGGCCTTGAATGTGTGCCAGACTGGGAAAGCATTTGAGAAGCATCACCTCCAAAGATCGTACTAACTTCTCTTGAATCAATTCGACACTCTCCTCTTCATTGGCGGACTGATGTGGAGGTAATTGGCTAGCTGAAGTAAGTGAAATATAGAGCAGGATGGTGTAATACAATACTGAGGAGTTGCCAGCCTGCACATTAGTAATCGCTGTTTCGAAGGTATCATTCTCTGGCATACCGATGGTACCCCTCTTTCTCATACGAGCAGGTTCCGAAACTGATCCTGGTGAGCTCTTCAGCGAATACTCCTCCAGCAAAGGGCTGAGGATCCTGTTGAAGTACTGAGTCTGCACGGTAATATCGATCTGTGCACCCATAATGTATAAGGACCTCAGGAGTTTCTTAATAGCAATGTCGTAGAACAAAAGCTTGTCATCCTCAATAATTACCCCTCCCCTACATGCATTGTTATCTCCATTTACTTCATTCAGCGCACGTGTCAACCTCGACACTGCTAAAGCTGCCGTATTTAGAAAGTGCTCCGCAACTCCGCGATCTGACTCGCATTCAGCAGCGTGAGCCAGTAACCCCACAAGCGAGCTGTCCGCGCTACCCTCACCAGAAATATCACCATGTCTTGTAGAACAAAGTTGCTCCGTAGTCATACCATCCATAACTCCTGCAGCAACCTTCCGAACCTCCGGAAGAGGGTGCAGCAGGCAAGCAAAGATCGGAAGGCTTTCCGGTATTCCTCCGCGCGCGCAAGTGCTACCCAAATGTACCATTTGATAACGTGTACCACGAAGATGTGCCGTCAGAAATCTTGTGGAAGCCTCAATCATGCTGGGATCACTAAGTACCTCCGAAAGCGTAGAGTCAAATACAGACTGATAGCGTCGCTCCAAGGCAAAGATGATATTCGCAAGCAGATCTCTCTTTTCGTTGGAATCCTCTGCAGGTGTACTTGGGCTTTCTCTCCTTTCACCTTCCCCTCTGTCCAGCACGCGATCACGTCTCTCCACTTCAGAACCAAGGATACGCCCACACTGAAGAGCAGTGAGAAGGTATTCCTTCACCAAATTCTTGCTCAACGGCAGCTCCGTAGCGGCGCATAACAGAAACGTCTGAACATCAGATGGAATTGATGAAATGGAATGCGCCACACGAAGCCGCTGCAGACAGAACCGACTGAGGAGCATAAAGAGGAACTGGAAAAGAACAGTCCCTTTCGCGGCAGCATCTTCAAAAGTTTGGGATAATAATGGAATCCATCGCGGCCAAGGTAATGCAAGCAACGACACAACATGTGGAGTGAAGCTGATTTCATCCACCATGTGCTTCTGGGACTCAAGCAATCCATCAATGAGGAGGAGCAAGTCTGGAAGGGGGACCGAGGAGATCCCCACTGTGCCGCCGAAGTTTTGACTACGAACTAGAATCGACACAATGGGTCGCATAATGGCGGACATCGTGGGTTGGGAAAAACGAACTTCTGTGCCCCACGCGGAAAGTACCAACAAGGACGTGCAAATCGTCTCTCGGCTAGGAGTAGCGATCGATGAGGAGCTGGGACCTCCTTGTGAAGCAGGAACGCTGCCACCAGTCAGGAACTCGACTTCAAATGGTAAAAGAATACGCCATATCGACTCGGCATCAGGGTGTGTGGACAACGCAGTTGCCACAGCGGCAAAAAGAGCGTTCGCCGCATTATGCTGGATGTTCAGCCGAGCCGGTGCAGCCATCGTCATGCAAACCAATCGCAGTACTTTGCGGCTTTCTGCACACGCCGTGACCAAATGCTCTCGCAACAAAGGTGCGCCATGCTCTTGGTTGGTGGACAAGAAGTCAAGACCAGTATCACGAAGATCCAGCAACAGAAGCGCACGGGCAAAGATGTTGTGATCATGGTAAGGCAGAAAAGCTCGAAGAACTGTCTCCACATTGTACACGTGTACTTCGTGTACGCGGACCAGATATTCAAACACTTGATGGGCGGCTGTCAAAAACAAGTGGGGACTGAGCAGCGTAAGAAAATGGTCTAAACGTAGGTCAAGCGCTTTACTCTCATCTGCATGGAGTAGCCTGCGCTCTTGTCGCGTTTTTTTCGGATTGAAAAGATCATCCAAGAATGGATGAAAGCGGTTATCGATGGAGATAAGAGTTTGCAAGCCGTTTGCAGCAAGCTGAAGGACTTGCTCACGTGAGTAACTCTTGGTATCGCTCTTAGAGAACAAAAAAGAGTCCGTGAGGCGCTTGTCATCAACGGGTCGCTGTTGCAGCTTCTGTAACTGGGAGGCTAGCTGAGATTGCATTGAAGACTAGTTTAAAGCAATAGTCAATCAACAAATCTGTTACGAAGAGAATTTATCAATTTGAAATAATTTAGGATATTATAGAAGTTAAACGAAAAGCTTGCTTCACTGCTAAAATAGGGGAAAAAACTTAGCAGGGAATCTGAGTGGAAAAGGGGCAGATTGCTTTGTGCATACAAATACCCTTTTGAAAGGGGAAGGAGACATTTAAAAAGAAAGAAAATCGATACATAAGCTTGGTCAGACAGTAGTGAAGAGTTCAAACAGCCTGCAACATTGACGATTCCGCACAAATATGCCAATAAGGAAGTCAATGAATCCTTCAAAAATTAGACCTCCTATGAAGAAACATGGAGTAACTTTACCCTCAACTCTTTTTATCGTGAGGCATATTTTGATAACTATCACTGTTAGTTTCACCAATATTGCAGTCAATGCTGCTTTCGCTCTGGCTTTCATAGCGATTGTCTACGCATTTTCTACGACGCCGATGCATCTTAGTGGATTCTAAATCACCTCGAACTGTGCGTAAAGATTTGATTCGCTCGACTCGCCCGAGCGTTCCCACAGATGAGGTAGAAAAAATACGCTCAATGGGTGTAAAGGAATGCAGTCGGGACCGAAAAGCATACCCTGAGTCCTCATGGGGCACGCTCAAAGAGGGGGCCATGGGAGATGACAAACTGGGTGCGGTGGGGTCAGAACTATCTGTAGTGGAAGGAAACACAATGTTGATTCCCTTGTGCAATAGCGACTCTCGTTCTGGTCCGTATCCATCGAATAATGAGCCACCAAAAGCCACACATTGTTTAAGAAAGACACTCTCGAGATCATAAATAGTCTCATCCACTTGAGCTAGTTCCTGCTCTAACTCTTCGCGCTCGCTAAGAATGGTCATGAGCTCCTGCTGAACTTGGGCAGGAAGCAACCTGGGTTTAATAGTAGTGTTCTGTGGTTGGCGCTTGCAAGAATAAGCCAGGCCGCCTCCTGCCGGGGTCACATTACTGCTTTGGAATGTCTTCTTGAGGGGCATTATGCATTACTACTATTAATATTATATGTATATGTACCCTTTTATGTACTTAAGGTGCTCAATACATGGGATGTCTAGTGAAAAATAATTTCCCATTTTTTTATTGAAAATAAGACAGACCATGTTATAGAAGTAACATTAATTGCTGCTTTATGAAATGGAAAACTCATAAGTGAATCCAGCATGTCCTTTTGAATGATTCAAGATATTGCAGTATGCGAATTATAGATGTTCATATTGTGATATAATTAGACTTCTTCCCTCATAAATATTGTGTATAAAACTCTTGATATAACGTGAAATTGATAACATTAAAAAGTATTCTAGATAATAAAAGCACCATGGAAAAACAAATGATTGTCAAAATATACCGATAGCATTGCATTTAAGTAAAAATACTGCATCGAATAGTCGCATCAACTAGCTAATTCATACATTGTTTGAACATCTTTTCATTCAACAAGTTTGAACCTTAAAAACTAGCTCGTCCTCAGACGTTTTGAGTATTAAGGTGTCTCCATCTCGACTTGCCATCATGCCGTTGCTAAATCCCTTAGACAAGGCTCTTTCTACCATCATGTCAAAGCGGTTCCCTAACATGCGTGTCGACGAAAGCTGACCCTTGAGCTCACCAGTCTGTGCATCGAACATAACCCCACCATTCATAATGTTGCACACTTTAGCATGAACATGGAGCAAATCGGGCTTATACCCTGCTTTCAGTGTTAAAACTCGAGGATGGGTCCGATCAGTCGACGTAGCTTTGTTATGACTAATGAGAACGTAGTCGCCGACCAAATTTTGAGACATTAATGAGTAAAAAAACTATCTTAAGAAAGATTATACCCTTTTCTTCACCGAATGAAAATGAATCAGTGAAATGTTGAACTCATAGTAGTCACCGGAAAGCAATAATCAAAATGATTCCGACAAGTAACTGATAAGGACAGATAAACAATAAATAAATATTCAATGATTTTATAATGCAAAAAAAGCATTGCAGGAAAGGAATTAGCGAATTCTGTCGCCAACTGCGCGGATCATCCTCGCAAGTATCCTGGAAAAAAAACAACGTCCTGCCACATGTAACATTTGTCCTTGGATTTTCCACACACGCAGAAGGGTACTGTACCCGTGGACGGCTCGATCACCTGACCCCACGTACTTATAGGAAATGCAGCTGAGGGCCCACTAAGGATCGTTGTGGTCGAAAACCTTCGGAAAACATCTACCTTTCCAAAATTATACCCAGTACACCAGGACACTTTACACAAAGCCAGAATGCAAACAGCTAATTTTGCCGCTACCCTGATACTGTATAGTCCTCCATGCACGCATACGACCCACACACAACAAAAACATGTCAATCCCTTGTTTCGAGTCCCGCACTGTCACACATCACAAGAAAAAAGGCTAATTAGATGTATTTTTGTCAAGAAGAAATCTTCGGAACTACCAGAAGGCAGAAACACGAACGATGTTGTCGTGTTGTCCTCGGATTGTGCCGTTGATTGAAATCTCACGAATGAGAGCGAATGAAAAACGCCTAATCGGAATCGATACAACGTTAAAGTAAAACATAATGTGGAAAATAACTTGCGAGCTTTGTCCGCGTCTCACACACCTCAGGATCTTCTCAAGAAATCGATTTGTTTCTTAGAAGAGCAATATAATGTGTTTATTCAGGGTCTAAGAAGAAAAGCTATGCAATTAAATAATACGAAAGGCATAAAAGTACGTTTCATCCGTGACTAAATAAATGTGGAAATGAAGAAGCGATAAACGTTGGAAACTATCCAGCACTGGAAGACTATGCATCCAACCCCACTACACGTATTGCACACATCTCCCACATGTTGAATTCTTCTGAAAAGACACGACGAGTCTCCGAAGAGCAATGCATGTGTTGAATACAATCTACACTTTTTGGTCCATACATACATACATACATATATATATATGGTAATGGGCAAGCATGCATGAGTGGAGGTATTATTATAACGATAATGTAATTAACTTCGCCAATAGAGACGTTTTTACGCTTTTCTAATACATAAGCAGTGTTAACTCTGTTTATGATGGTAAATAACTAACGAATTCTGTCGCCAACTGCGCGGATCATCCTCGCAAGTATCCTGGAAAAAAAACAACGTCCTGCCACATGTAACATTTGTCCTTGGATTTTCCACACACGCAGAAGGGTACTGTACCCGTGGACGGCTCGATCACCTGACCCCACGTACTTATAGGAAATGCAGCTGAGGGCCCACTAAGGATCGTTGTGGTCGAAAACCTTCGACAACGATGCATAAAAATTATCATATCGCATAGCAGCAGCACGTGCTTGATAGCGCCATGGTGGTCGCAACATGCACCTTACTCTGCATCGATCCTTGCTATGGTCTCCACTGAGGAGCAACTGATCAAAACACTGAGAAAATTTTGCTTCACACTGATCTGGCACATTCGATGGAATTGGTTTGTGATCATTGAAGAGTAGACCTTCACGATTCAGTGACCCACTAGATGTATTCGAAAGCATAAAAAGTCCATACGATGAATTTTTTTGTATTATGCACTCTTCAAGAACACATATAGGGCGCCCAGCTGCTGTTGTAAACATCGCTGGAACCCACGCTGTGATGGTCTCAGTGTCCTCTTCACATATTCTGATTGTTTTATTTGAATGTTTGGAATTCCCTGCAGGGTTACACTCAAAACACGCAACACTGGGCTCTTTGTTTTGGATTTCGGATAATGATGATTTTACATTGCAATGAGCCCCTGGTGAATACGATAGAGTGCCATCTAAGGGCATACTGACAAATATTTCCCCCTCTCTCCTCTTTAAACACGATTTTGTTCTTTGTTTCGGAGTGACTATTGCATCATGAGCCGCACACGGGCTCTGAGGAGACTCCGCTGCTGCATCTTCGTCATTTTTTTTACACAAAGCAACAGTCCCCATCCAAGAAGCCTTCATCGTGCTTGGAGAAAGCAGAAACACTTTGTAGCTCAGCAGAATCGAGAGGAACAGATAGTGGAAGGAAACTACCCTTCTCAGTAGAATTCAGTGATGCAAATTCCTAAGGAATGCGTGAAATAGCGAACGCTCTGTGGAAAAATTTTTTGATGAATCATAAAATCTTATGTCAACGTGGTATAGTTTACAAAAAATAGAAAAAGCTTCTTGTTGAATTGAGATGCAAGGTGTGGTGTGGAAAGGTTGAAATCATTTTTTTTAATTGATCCATCTCATGTAGAGGTACTTTGAAATTATTCCGACAAAAACCAAATTTTTGTCCAGTTTCTTGCAATCCACAAGTCCTTATAGAAAAAAAACATAATATAAGTGACATAAACATTTGGTAATGTACAGATTTCTCATAAATTTTATCACTTTTGTCTGACGTCCTAATAAGGTTTAAAAAGTGAAGGAACACAAAAATGAGTCCATTCTCATTGAGCCTCATTGAGAAGATGAGATACACCGCAAAAATCTGATAAACGCAAGACCGCTATCCTAAAGAGAAGAGGTGGTCTCATTTCAGTTTATTTCCGTGCAGTAAAGCAGTTGCTATAGCCATAGAGTAGATTTATTTCCTTTTTTGTGGATTCCCAGATGAGTTGTTCGCATCGCTGCTAATATAGTAGCCTAAATGTTCGTCAAAACGAATACGACAGCGGCAGCAAGCCTTTTGAGGCCCAGGGTTTTCGAGAAGAGAAGTTCCATTGCGTCCATGATGACATCTTTCTATGATACGCTTCTGTTCACTTTGAAGTATTCTTTGCAAACGTGCCTTTTTTTTGCGCTCCCTCAGTGCCTTCCGCTCACGCTCGGCTGCCAAAGCGAGCTGCTCCGGACTATTCATAAATCTCTCATAAGCCAACTGCTCTGCCTCCTTACGTTCGTTAGCTTCCTTGCCGCACAACTCATTCCATGCTGTCTCAACTTCCCCTTCAAGCAGCCCGCGGTCAGTACGCTCACGACAAACAATAAAGACGATAGCTGCTCGAAATTGATTTTCTTGAATTTTCTTCAGCCTGGAACGCTCCACTTCTTCTCTAGACTTCTCTTCCTGTGCCTTGACTTCATCTTGCCATGCACAACGACCTTCTGCTAGAAGTTGTGCCTCCCATTTCGCATTTTCAGCATTCTTAAGGTTCTCACGCTGCTTGAGTCGACCTTGGAATTTTAGAAGTCGTCGACCTGGGACTCCAGCTAGCATAGAAAACTTTGATAATTCTTTACAAAATCTAGTATGAATGGCCTGTAGTTGTGATAAGGCAGCATCCTCAATCTCTCCTCTCATAATTTCAGCGTTAAGGAGTAGCTCCCGAAGCTCCAGCTTGTTTTTTATTATGATATAGTCAGACATGGCTTGCCTCTTAGATGCCTGCAACTCAGAATCGTTAAAAAATTTAAGGAACCTCGATGGGATATAGCTTGACCTGCCATATGAATTTGAATTTTCAAGCGGTGAAAGATCACGGGAAGTTTGTGAGTGTAGCATATTCAACAAAACACCCTCATCACATGAGCGTTCACTTCTGTCTAAACTGTGGTAGATGGACTTCGATTCAAGATCTTTTTTTTCATGTACGCAAAAAAAATCCTCCCGTTTGCTTATGCTTGGGAGAGCACATTGGGTTGACCCTGACGTGATATTTCCCTGTTGTTGAGTAGAAATTAATGATGCAGTAAATTTGTCAGCACGCATAGTACAGCATGCAGTACGCTCAGTTACCAAAGGATCTGTTGCTGCATCCAAAACCGAAGAGGAACTGCCATGTACCTCTAAACAAGGTTGTTTGATGGGTGAAGAGCATCGATGTTGAGGCATGTTGAAGTACCCCACACCTAGTTTCGATCTATCAAGGCTTAAAGGTAAAAGATGTGAATAAGCGGAGGGAGAGCGAGATAACAGCGTAGTTGTCGTGCCCGATGATAAGATGACAACGTAGAATTTGGAGTAAACATGGATTAAAATACTTTCGAATTCACAATTATTATAGCAGTATTTACCCCTTAGAGAACCTAAGCTAGGGCAATATCAGTATCTCAGACCAAATGTAATGCTAAACCATTTTTTCGAGATTAGGCAGAGACGCAGCATCGCATCTGAAAACCTCCAATAATCCTGCGAGTTGTTCCAATTTTTCCTTACGTTCTCCGCAAAGTGCATAAACACGAACTAAGTCGCTTAAAAAGGCATCCGATTGGGTAAGAAGGCTCGGGTCTTCCCTCAAGTAGTGCTCTAATGTGTCCCTTATTTCTGTCATGAAGGCTTCTGAAGCCTTGTCTTCATGGCTACAGTACAGCAAACTGGTGCAATGTGATGTTTGAGCGTTGCTCTTAAGCTGCTGAAGAACTGTATCGCTTAGCACGTCAATCATCAATCGATTCCCAACATTGGGATCTAATGATGCCTGATGTGAGCAGCCTTTTATATTGCTACTGAGACGATGAGCGATTGATCGAAAACACACTGCGGCTTCACTGAATTTACCTGAAACAATCAACTTGAACCCTTCATTCATATTAATAATATGTGAATATAGAGATGCCTCTGAGATACTTTCATCGTTGGCATCCTCATTATTAATTCTCCCAGAATTGTTAGAGGGGAAAGAACTGGAAGGGCTCCCGCTGGAAATCATAGCAATGATGTTAAATGCCTTCCCAGATATGACCGTATCACCACAATGTAAACACAGACATGCGAATTGCTGGAGTTGAAGAACATTCCTAATTCTCTTTGATTGAGACCAGCACTTGGTCTTTGCAATCATGTTCTCTACATCCTCCTCCCACTCAATCATTTTTTGAAATGTTCTAATGGCTAATTCAAACTTTCCAGTACTGTAATAAACATGAATAAGGGCCCGTTGAATTCGCTTTACGCGCTGCTCATATTTTCGTCTTACATTTCTGGAAAGTGATGAAAATGAATCTGGCCCATAGTTCTCATGTTCATCCAAAAGCTTATATAGCCTTTTCAATGTTTCCATTGGATTAGACATATAAAATGGAATAAGAGAGGAAAGAAAGCGAAGCGAGAAAGGTGCCAAGTTCTCACGTGTAATCGGATCCAAAAAAGCATCACCTTCAATATCCCCTAGGGCATCTAGAAGTTCCTTGGCCTTCTCGACGCGCTGCATTTTAAAATAGGATGACATCTGAGCTAGTATATAAGGTAGTCGAGCCACTAACTCCGCCGTGTGCGTTGCTGGCTGCACCAGGGCTCCCTCATTACTTTGCATAACGCAAAACCGTGCGTTCTTCACTGCTGTTTCTTCTAGCTTTGTAGCCAATGAAATCACTTCCGACCAGCTACCATTGGCAGCTAAGATTCGTAGGCCATCATCAGTACGTGGAACATCTGCTTGCGTTATTCGTTTTCGGCATTGCCATTGACCCGGATCTCCACGGAAATCGTACCCCAGAAACTTGCAAGCTGATTCAGCAGCTTTTTCAGATGGCATTCACAACTGTGCTCAATATGTAGGATAAAAATATTATTTACTTGTCTATTTGATGAATATGACCTATTATCATGACCAAAACAAGTGCAAACTGATTCTAAATAGTTTGTATTAAACTAGATATTGTGTACTAAAATAAAACTTGGTCGTTTATTAAAAAGATGGCAAATAAGAACTTTATCATTTTCAAGGGTAGCACCCAGTTGTAATTGAAGATACGAATCAATCCAAGTTTCCATAAGATTGTATGTGGTAAAAAACTGAATCGATAGCGTAAGCATCTCTAAGTGCAATGTAACAATGTATTTGACGTTTTTTTTGACATTTAATGGTCAATTTGGGCACCTGCATGCTCACGTTCCAGAGAAGACATACCTTATTAGAAATTAATAACTTTGACGCATAAAAATGGGCAATAATGATTGTGATTGATGTAATATAAATCAAATTAAAGCACCAGCATTCTAAAAACACACATGAAAAAGTTCCAACTCGTCTCTTGATTTGCAACAAAAATTAGACACACTTCAGAATGTACATTGAAAGAATCTACGTATTCATTCTTAGAAAAGTAAAATCAGGTACATAAACCCAGGAATATTAATAAGTAGTTTAAAAAAACATGAAATATTGTATGTATTGACCATGCAATTTTTAGTATCAATAAAATTCTTAACGTCTTCACATTAAAAAAAAGAAAGTATATTTTGCACAACTACAGATGACCTTAATTGTGCCGTATTTTCTTAGGTGGTTATAAAAGGGAATACGACAAAACGTGAGCAAAGAAAGGAAAAAAACACATATTTGCACTAAACACATTAATATACAAATTGCTAAAAATAATGCATGTGTATCAGATAATGTCTCTAATCCTTGTCCTCTATTTACCTCCTCCTTAAAAATATAAATTAATCCATATAGACCCTTAGAATTCAGAAGCAATAAAGCTTCTCACTAAATACTGCTTAGAGCTCAGAAAATAAAACTAACTATTCAGTTTTCAGACTTGAAGTAATTTCTGTCTTGTCTGAGCTCGTTATTAATACTCTAAAATGATACATGCAATTTAAACAGTCACCACAGACCTTCCAAAGCATGCATATATGTATGTGGAAGACAATATTATGTTGAAGAGATAGAAAAGGCACATTGCTTTCCAGGATGGAGTTGGTTGGTGTCATATTCGTTGTCAAATATTGTAATCATTTTTTCTGTATCCGATGAAAATTCGCTGGATGTTAGGAAAGGATGTGACAAAAGTTCTTGAGATGTGCTTCGCTTCTCTGGGTCCAGCTTAATACATTTGTAAATAAAATCACGAAACAATACATTGGGTGGAACATCCTCAAGATAAACCGATGAAGAGGTCATTTCCCCTAAAAGTGAAGCATGGTCCATAAATTTAGGTGGGCATACAAAAAGCTCACACACTAAACAACCAACCGACCATATGTCACACGGCAAAGAGTGGGACTGACCCTTGTAGACCTCAGGTGCCATATAGCGGAAGGTCCCCTGGACCTCCCTAGTGGCACCACCTTGACGCGCCGTGCCAAAATCCGTTAATTTTATTGAATCCCCTTTGATCAAAATATTCTGTGGCTTGATATCACGATGAGCGATGCCACGGCTGTGCAAATATTCAATAGCTGCTAAAACCTGCTTAATAATTTGTACTACGCTTAAGTTTGGCGGCTTGGGGTAACGACGAAGGATAACATCGGTCAACGAAGCATCGCATAGCTCCATAAACAGACTCACATCGCTATCCTTGCGCTCACAATAAAAGTAGTGCACAATGTTCGGGTGATTGAGGCTGCACATGATCTTGATCTCATTAAGTAAATTGGTGATCAAATCCTCCCGTTCAGCACTAAAGTAGAACATTTTGACTGCCATCTTTCCCCCAGTCATGTCACTTGTGGCCTCATAGACAGCACCGTATGATCCGCGCCCCAGAAGACGGCCCTTGGTCCAAGGAGAGTCGTGTCGGAGAGTCAAGATGCGCTCACGCTCTTCGTGTACGGTTGCAGCGCTTTTTTTTTCTGACACTACCTTACCTACCTCTATCATCATTTGGAGTAAATCACGACCGACCATCGGCATACGGATCGCAAACTTGAAAACATAAGAAAGTGCTATTTCAGAGTCCATAATGGGTATAATAATGGCGCCATGATCATTTGTTAAGAGTATTTCCCTCGCAGTACAGAGCCACTCGCTGTCACAAATCACCACATCCACTTCACAGGGTCGTGCAGTGAGTCTGCGCTCTAAATCCGCGCGGTCTTGGACATTTGCTAATGTAACAAACATTGTCTTTAGCAAAATGAGGGAAAGGTTGTACTGATTTGCCATGTTCTTGATGAGCGTTACAACGTTTACAGTAGAGGTAATGGCTGCACGAGCTTGAGAAAGATGCATAGCAAGATTTACCCCCGATATGTCTGAAGTATCATCCAAGATGGTTGCCACCTGGCACGGGAAGCGAAGCTCAACACTTCTACTAGAAAAATAAATGTTTATAAGGGTGCTCTTAAGAAACGGTTTCAACATTTCCTCTACACATACAGGGTCCCATAGCGGATCACTATCACTTGTACGAATCGATACGCTTAAACTAAAAACGTTTCCTGTGGGATTAAGCACTCGAAAACTCACAATACTCCTCCCTTTTGCCAAAGTAGACACCACACCAATCGCCTTGGCATCATACGGACTTAAGTACAATGTCTGTGGAAAAAGTGGATCAACCACAACCTTAAAGCGACTAAGATTCATACTGAGACCTTTACCAATGAGTTGCTCTACATTCGTCCACTCCCAGTCGGTGGTCACTTCATGACAAAGGTCCATTATGGCTTGCACGTAATTGTTCTCAGTAAAATTGTGCAAGAATCTCAGTGATAAGGCATCCTGGGGAGAAATGGATTCGCGTTTCGATATAAGGGACAACGACTCACATATTTCACTCGTTACGTAATCACCGATATAATTGCGATACTCATGTAAGTTGTCCTTTGTATTAGTGCAAATAAGAATGTTGCCTATTTCCTCTCCTCCTGAATCAAGGATGGGAGCAACAGCAGTGTAAAGCAGAGTTGGTTTCATAGCCAAGGCGCGAAGTCTTAATTTGATCACTTTTTCGCGCACTGTGTGACGAAGCTCCTCGCATATGTTGGTACCATTGGAGCATTGCACCAACTCAGACAATGGTCTACCTATGCATCCCTCCTCTAAAAATCCAGTCAGCTCCTCAGCGGCAATGTTCCAGCGTGTGATTCGGAAATCTTTATCATATGCAATCATAACTACCTGCTCATCCAACCGTCTGCTATCAATGTAACCAACACCATTACCATAGGGAATCGTGTAATAGGCTTCCTTTGTCAGTTGCCCCTCCACCACTGCTCTGGAATTGTCAGTAGTCACGTCTGGTTGAATTATAACGTTTTGCTTCTTGTAATTCTGCATCAGGTGGCCCTCCGATTTTAGCGTCGCACACGTTGTATTGCCATAATTAATTGCATGTAACTCAACCATCCTCGTATACAGAATATTCAATGACCACACTGAAAAAATAAAGTTTACAAACTGAATAGCAGACACAGATAATAAGAGCACAGTTGTGATGCTACCAATCGGAATTCCGACGTGTATAGGTGGCGCGAAGCTTGCAAGAATCATCATGATACTTACACAAGACAAAACTAGTACACAATACATAACATTCATGAAAATAAAAAGCGGAGAATTCATTGTCAAAAACTGTCGGCTTAGTCTCATCCACATGGGAAATACAATACGTGCGTGATCTATGTGTTCCGCGCAGTCCTCAGCTAATTGTAAACACAGTTTTTTCCATGAAAGTGCCTCCGGTCCAAGACCAATTAAATTATCCAGAAACAACATACTCAGACGATTAAGCAATTTTGGAAGCTCTTCATCTAACTTTGTTTCCTTGCTTTTGCTGCTGATCACATGGAACGAATTCTTTGGTAAACAGCATAATATTTGAAGTTGCCTCTGAACAGTTAGGTACAAAATGCCTGCTTGAGTTTGGTACTCACTTCCTTTAGAATCAATGAAGACTGCTTCCAAGCTACTAAAAAATTCACTCAATATTTGGGGCAAATTCGTGATCGTTCGAACTACAAATTCCTTGTCATCCTCTGATGCTAATATGGGATGGGGAAGCATTAGAAAACAATAATCAAAAATGGCTTACTGGAATCACAATAGATCTAAGAAAACTACTGCTATATCATATGTTTCTGGTGAATTGGAAAAGAACGGGAAATGAAAATAATGGCAATCTAAAAATGAATGTGTTGAGGGGTAACATCATAGGAAATATATTGAAACTTTGGATTGACCGCGTATACTCCATAGTTTCAGTTTCTTTCTCTTTCTTAATACATATTCAAGCAAACCCAGGATGCATTGTAGAGAGTTGTTGTCTACATGCAAAATTTGTTAGAAAGAAAATATATAGGGACAAAAAGAGTGGGGCACAAAGCGGCAATTTCGAACTGCCCCGTAGTTACATATCACTAGTTTTGGAGGGTTCATGAAGGGTCGCATCAGACCTATTTGCTCCCTTTTCCCTTTCGGTGTGAAGGGCAGATTTGTTCGCTGAAAACGCGCGGCCTCTCTGCTTAGAAGACGACTTCCGACTTCCTGAAATTGTGCGAGAACCGGGTGGTCTTGACTTTTTGATTCTTTTATGTTTTTTGCCCTTTTTATTATATTTCTTTCTCATGGAAGTGGCCAGTAAATAGTCATGAAGCGTTGCCCTTTTGGTGTTGCTTAATGTACCTCTATGTTGAGGATTCCATCCACCCTTCTGTCTTTCCTTGGCATTGATAGATGGCCTGGTCTGCAACTCGATAGGAAAAGAAGGTCTTCGTGGATCACTTTCTGTGCTAAAACGGCGCGTAGCTGAGATGTTGTTAAAGGCCCCACTAACGAGTAAAGATTGAGGCTTACTGATATCCCGAGAACTGCCGCTCATGGCAGCCTTCAACCCGTACTCCTTCCTGTGGTTTACATAGTGTGACACCAATGTCTCGATTTTTGAACCGACATTGTAAGCTCCGTATTCATATCTAACAACACTGTTATTAGTATACTGTGGTACTACTGCACGCAAGGCATCGTCTATTATCGCATCATCTTCAGAACTTGGTTCTTCAACTAAAGAAGTATGGATATACGAGCGCCCGACGTTATATTGTTTACGACCCTCGCGCATTACATGTGGAATATTGGACAGTAAATCATTGAACTCATGCGAATTAACGGATTGCACGTCATCCTTGCCTTCCTTCATATTTTCGTCCTCGTCTTCGTCCTGGGAACCACTTTCCATACCGCTTACTGTTCTTTCAAAAGCTCCCTCTAGGCCACGTGTATCAAAATCACGCTGATAATCAACAGGATCGGCAAGCCCACGCTTCTCCATTGCGGAAATAATATTTTTTACATTTTCATGAGCCAACGGTTCAGAAACATTTACAAGTTCCCAAAGTGTTTCCCCACGAATCTTGATTTTTCGAATCATAATGGAAATGACGCTTTTGTAATGATCAAAGGAGACCCTAAGTGGTACCAAACATAATGGTAACGAAGATTTGGGCCTGCGAACCATATAATAGGGAACAAGTCCGTTACGCACTGTTATATCCTTACCAAAGAGTGTTGCACTGATAAGAAGTCCTGTGCACATGTTAATTCGTTTAAATGAAATGAAAAAACCATCCCCTGCCGCCATCGTAGCTCCGTTATTCACTGCAAATGTACCCCCCCGAACAGAATCGTGACTAATCACAGTCTCCGTTTCTGTTCCGCGATATAATTCCTCAACGTCCTGATCAACATCCAACAAGTCAACATTGTATGTGCAATAGGCATGTGGAATAGACTCATTTCCTATAACTACAGCATGTGGTTTGTGCTGAATTCCTTTGTTATCCGTTGTGTAACGGCCGATAGTGGCGTAGTCCGTTTTATTTTCTCGGTCAAGAAATAAGCAAACCGCGCTGTCAAAAAACAATGGAGGCTTCACTAACGAGCTGTCGTCTTGCTGAGTAGGCTGTAAGGTGCTGCTTCCCATAATTGCACTGTTTCCAACTGTTTCGATGGCAGGGGTCACTCGCCGTGACGCAGACGCATCAAAAGAGGTGATGTTGCTTAAAATAGAAGTTCGTTTCCTCCGAGTTGGGAGAATGCAAGGAAGTGAAGAAACAGGTTTAGGTTCTAAGTTGCCTGGGTTTAAAGACCGAAAAAGAATGATTTCCAATTCCATAATATGTCGGCTAAGTAAAAACGAATCACCAACGCGTAATACTCTAACGCTGGCATCTGAGCGCTTATCAACGCGTACCATCAGGAACTATTAGAAAGTACTTCAACTGTTAATTTCTTTGAACTGAAAGAAGAAGAAACAAAGAGGATAATTAAGCATTTATTGTAATGATAAAAGAGGGAATCCCTTAGCTCTATACAATCCTATAAACGTTCAAATAATATTTTATTGTCAAACAAAAAAATCAGTCACATTACAGGACTTCCTTTCGACTTTTTCTATTGAGGAAATGCAGTGAAAATTATGTAGCAGCACGAAAGGGAAATCAAGAAAAAAAGTGGACATTCACTTCTCTAGATATAGTAAACCTGATATATTGGTATATGGACTTGTAGTGAACATAAAAATAATACTACTGACGGATTTATAGTATTGGACACATCTGAGTGGTTAGATGTGGAACGTCATTGATTCTATTCCTTAAACCGCTCCCAACCATCATACATCATACATGTTGTTTTTAATTGAGCTGCCAGTCGCGTTGTTATGAGTTTCGATCCGTATTTCCTATGTTCTTTTGTTGTTGTTGTTCTTACATTTATAATAAGCTGTCTCGTTACTCACTAATTAAGGATATGCAATTTTCCATACAAACGTATATCAGCAAATACTAGAATAGTGCTCCAGTTAATTAATTTCATTGCTATTTTCTGTATTTACTATGCCATTATATACTGTATTTTCCTATAATATAATAGAATCAAGAAAAGAAACAAATAACGCAGGTAAGGAGTGTTAAAATTTAGCATTTCGGAATAGCAACAATACAAGGAATAGCTCCACATACTCCAAAGATACGTTAACTATAAATCCAAGCATCAGTCCTCTGGACGGAAAAAGCATACTTAGAACACAAATCGCTAAGGAACGCAAACAAATTTTCCTTTTAAGTATCTGTAAAGGAATGGAAAATAACAAATAGATCAAAAGAATACATAATCAGCTATACATTATTTAACTCTTTTATAATATGCTCCCCATAATCTAATCAATTAGATACAATAAAGTAATCGGTGTAAAAAATACTTAGCTAGAAACTTACGTGTTAAAGCAGGAGCCCATCATAATAAACATGTCATACAAAGCGAATTTCTATGATATCTAATCCCTAACGAACACAACAGTCCTATTGTGGAAATGGTCACTTATGACTCGAGCTCAAAGAGGGGAACCAAATGACAGCGACCCTTTTTTCAGACATATTAAGTTTCATTGTCATGGATGGGACAAAATGAGTAGAGATAGTGTTCTGACTGTGAAATCTCGATACACGCTTTAACTTGTGACAGCAACTTAAAGACTTTGTACGGTGCAATACAGTTATGCAGGCTTGTAACAACTATGATCCCTACTGAAAGGGGTACACACTGCAGGTAATACCACTACATGCACCACTGAAAGAAATATCCCACTTGATGGAGGGAGAATGACGCTAAGTCTCCAATGTAATTTTGAGACTGCGGTAATACCTAAATATAGCTAGTAGAAATTACATTCAGATGGTCCTTCAAAGTATGAGATGTATTCAGCCTATTGTTACCCATCCTAACTATCAAATGTATACCTCCGCTTCACATAATAAAGGGTACCATGGAGTCGTGAAGTCCAAACAAAGCAAATATCTTCTAAATATGACAAAAAAAGATAGAATAAGAGTCCTCTTCTATATTTGAGCATCCACAACTCTACAAATAATGTTAGCGCATAAAGAATTGCTAACAAAACATTTTGAATATAAGTGTGTTCATTTGGGTTTTCTAGTGGAAGTTGATATGATATTTAAAATGAAACCACTCTGATATGCTTCACATAAAGGTTTAAATGAAAGAATAGCAAGCCACGTAATTAAAGTAATGCTTTAAAGGCAGTTCACCCCCGAACATTAGAAAATGCATAATCACATTCATTTTGAAGCGGTAATAAATATTTGAAAAAATGCAATACATTGTTAGGCTATCAAATTAAATAGACCATGATCTTAAAGAATAATATACCCTTGGGCATTTCATTTTTAAAACCCAAATATGCAAAATACTTTCAATACGTATATGAAAATAACTCACACCCATTGAATTATACAAATATTTGTTCAGAGGAATTTTTCATCCAATCATATGTCATATGCACGTCAGAATTCACAGCTACAGAATGAAATGATGTCCTCGCTTGAAAAAATAACATTCCAAACATGCAGACTTATGAGAATCGGGGAACATAAAAACAGCAACCATCTCGAAACTAATATGTGATTCTGCATCCTTATATGAGGTGGGACAGCTTAGAGTCACTCCGTACTTTGACTGTTGCGCATATCCCCTCTGCATATGTAATTCCTAAGGACACTTCAACAGCATAAAATGAACGTTATTTTTAGAATGTCTCGAAGAAATTGGAAAGGGTAGATTTCAAGCGCCATTGAATCCTTAAAATGCACGAAAAAAATACTGAATCCAGGTTTATTTTGTCCAAAATATCATATTGTACCAGACAATCCGTTTGATTAATCAGAAAGCGATACAAGTGAAGAATCAAATTCTCAAATAAACTGCATGCTCAAGGTGAAAAAAACAACAGGTAACACATATATTATCCCTCTATTTTTTAGCATAATAGTAGAATGCATGGAAGCATGGTCTTAAATATAGTTACTGGTGAAAGTAGAACGTGAATAATAACTTGATGTTACTTAGGTATGAACTAATTCGCATTTGCAATAAACAAGCGCTGTTAGAACACTATTTAAGAAAATAAAATGCTACTGTAAAGAACTATTAGAGGTAACATTTTGTGCTTAGGTAGCTCACTAACTTAGACTCCCCTTTTCAATAACCCTTCATGTTGAAGTACTACATTAAATATACTTTCACCACGTCATCAACACCTGCTTCGTTAGAAGCCCACACATAGAAATAGAAACATAAAATGCAATAAATATAGAATAAAATAAAGTACCTTCACACTATTCAAGACTATAAAGATCAGATCAAACTAGTCAAGGTATACATAACGTGCTACAGCATTAGTTAAAGAAGTACTAACCATAATACAGTGCTTTCGCAATATCAGTCTTCGGTGGAATCCATATTTTTTAGAATTGTCATTTCCTTAATGGGTATTTTTAAAGGCACTGTGGGTGACTTTGAATCTGATTCAGCCTCCTTTCCTACCATTCACAACATGCGACAGGTGACTATAAAGGAGAAGCCTCTCCGCACTGCAGGATAATCATCAGCGAAATAAAATGTAGATATACTTTGATTTTAAGCGCGTGCAACGAATAAAGAATAAAATGGCGCACGGGCCCGCATAAGAAAGCCAAATACGCTTTTCTGCCAAAGACCTAGGAAGAGCAACCGAAAACACTATTAACTCATGCGAAGGGCCCCAGAACCACAGTAATCGCACCAAACTTAATATTATATTGGAGAAAGAAGACGAATGCATAGCAGCGGCGTTTTTGGAGTGGACCTTAGGATTCAAGCCCCCCCACACACACACACCCTGAGCCCGCGCCAATCGACACGAGTGCTACGCCTTGCTAAAGACCCATATTTAATCTATATCTGGAAATTTTTTGGTACCTTGTGTAGATCATAAGTTCCCGGGGGGTTTCCCATGACAATCCGTTGCCTTGGGGTATCCATGAACCCCCCCGGGCACCCCGAAGGCGTAGCCAAAAGCAGGCACCGGGCGCCAAGGTATAAGATGAATTTTCAAACCAGATTTCATGAAATATTTTTAGTAGCTCATCAGAGTCATTTATATTAAAATTATGTGTCGAAAATCATCTTAGAAATAAGTGAATTTGAAGATTTACTCTAGGGCAGCGCCGCAGCTGTTTGCGAGCCACAATTTGCGTCCCCCCGCCCTACACTTGGCACGAAAGATGCCAGTGACAGTTTTGTATATTGGTTTTTTCATAAAAAGGCCATGTTCGGTCAAATAAAAAGCATTTAGTAGAATAAATAAGACCACCCCAACTATCTAAAGCAACGCAATCGTTAAATGAAATTAATAAGTGCAATTTGCGCGGTATAATTAAGATAATTTCCACAATTTACACACATAAAAATAAAGTGGAAATAATTTTAAAATTACACATATTTAGAAAAAGATCAAACTAATAATAACAAGACAGAATTGATCCCGTCAAGATATAGCAGTTAATATATAGTTCAATCAATTTTAAAGCGCGTAATTGTTTTTAAACTTAGAATAAACTATTAGGGTTTAAATAGGTTTTGAAGCTCTACAATTATACTTTACGCGTCCTTATATACTCTTCTGGAACACAGCCCCCATATGACCAATAAAACTTTAACAAATAATAACGCCGAAGTGCTACTATGTCATACCCATGCCCCCTAATAATGCTATATTTCCGCCAGGTCTAGAAAAATACCAGTGGCAACTAAAATAAACCGTATTGCGAATAGGATAATTAATAGCGCCCTGGAACAAGTTTAGTTTTTTAGATAGTACAATACATATTTGGGGTGGTACGGATATTTTGACCAATAGCAATAATTATATTAAAATAATTTCAGTTATAAAATAATAGCTGACACTATAAAATGGATTAATCAAATAAACCAGAATATCTCCAATATCAAATTTTGTTCAGAATTAAACGAATTATGAAATAAGGAATTGGATCAGTACCCCCAAAAATATCTGTACAGTGGATTTAACTAGCGACATGTATAGGCAAATGGACCCATATGGGGAAACTAACTGACTGTAACGTAAGAAACCTGGGCTGCGCATATGTTAAAAGATGGCTGCATAGGAAAGCTGGCTTGGGGTCAGGGAAGATGCGGATTTCAGTATCATTTGCCTGTGCTATACTATTCGCCCCTCGTCTATTTTGTTCGCACAGCATATGTGTATATACATCCCATCAATTATATTTGAACGCAAAAATATTATTTAAAATTATAAGATATATTTCTAATAAATCAAATCTCTAAACTATTTTAATATATATTCGAAGCATAAATACATATAGTATGTATTAAAGCCAACATTTTTGAGATTTTTTGTTCATTTATATGTATAAATTATTTTTTATGTGTATAAATTAATTTTTATGTGTATTAATTAATTTTTATGTGTATAAATTATTTTTTATGTGTATTAATTAATTTTTATGTGTATAATTATTTTTTATGTGTATAAAATAATTTTTATTCTGTATAAATTAATTTTTATGTGTATAAATTAATTTTCATGTGTATAAATTAATTTTTATGTGTATAAATTAAAATTTAATGTGTATAAATTAATTTTTGATGTTGGTAGACCTTTTTTCTAGTGAAATGAAAAAAGAAATTGCATAAATGTTCTTATTATTAAAAAAATAATTATTCTAAAATTATATTACAAAACTAAAGATTATAAAACGGAAATCATTTACCTACGGTAGAATATCTCCGATATATGGGACTTTGTTCAGAATTAAGCGAATTGTTGCGATATGAGGAATTGGAATCAAAACCAAAAAAGGTGTATACGTAGTGGATTGAACCAGCGATATCTATCGGCAAATGGACCCATATGGGGAAACTAACTGACTGTAATGAAAGAAACCTTGCCTGTCGCATATGGAAAACGATGGCT